AAGTTATGTTTCTGCTCAGAGTTAAAACTGTGTTTTTATTTTTTTTTTAAATATCACAAAACCCTTCACCCAAACAACCCCAAATTTAGCGCAGAGCAAGAGCAGACTTTCTGCTGCATCTGTGCCAAATTTGATGCAGATCCCAGGTCCAGTTTCATAGATATACTTTTTTGTTTGGGGCACTCCTCTTTTTTATTTGCCTTAGAGAATGTTGCCTAATGCTAATGCACAATATATTGGTGCCTGGCAAACCTAAGAAGTATTGATCTAGGAAGAAAAGTCAGTGTACAGCACTGTAAGTAAAAGGCCATCCAGGGAAGTGAAAGACATCTCTTGTCATTATCTGCTCCTTTCCATGCAAAGATCCACGTTTCCAGTGTAAGCTGAGTTGCAGTCACTTCTCAATATTGTGAAGACATTGATGAATTGCCCATAGAACATGTGTCCTCCTATAAATTCGGAATTCCTAAAACAGGAACGGGGAACCTGTGGCAATCCAGATGCTGTTGGGCTGAAACAGCCACCAGGTTTCGACAACACAGGCAATGGTGAGGAACCATAGAAGTTGCAGTCAAACATCTGCAAAGGGGTGCAGACCATCTACCCCCCCCAATCCTCCTTTAAGAGATGTGGACACTTACCATGACACCTGCACAACTCACCATGAGGCACCAGAATCCCAACTATCAAATACTTCCATGCTTCAAATCTGCCTGCTTATCTCCAAAATGTGCCTGCTTATCTACAAAAACAGCACACATATTTATATCTATTCTCTCTCTCTCTTTTTTTTAAAGTTACTTTTTTAAAAGCTAAATTTGTTTTAAAAAGCAAGAATGAAAGCATTTTGTGGTGACGGGGAATTATGTAACATCAGGCACCAATTGGCACATATTGAACCAGTTTTTCAGGGCTGGCCTCAAGAAAGGAAAACAAAGAGATGGAAAACAGTGAGGGTGCTTTGTTTGTACTTCTGTAGAGTGGTGGAACGAAACAACTTTTTCTGACTCCAGCTTCCTTTGCTGCAGTTAAATCCATCTTCTCTGACACTCCTTTGAAGCACTTTGCCTCCATATAATATGGTAGGTGCTCCTTTTAATGCTCCTTTTCATATACATGCAAGGGAAATAGCCTGGTGAAACAGAGGTTTCTACAATTTTTTTGTGGGCCAATATACCCTGTGCCAGAAAACTTATGGAGGTCACATGGTCTACTTTATGGAGAGCAGTTCTTTGTCTGAAGGCCTACCCAGCCTAAGTCTGCTTAGAACTGAGAACCCCTGAACAGCAAACTGAGCATGCCAATTGATCAGTCATCTTTACTATGAGTTGTACGGTATGTCTACTTTGCTTTTAATTTTCTCCATCAGCATCTTTGTCTACAAATTAGCATTTGCACATTTAATGCTCCTTTTCTGATTATGCATTTCCTCCTTTCCTGGGAAGCATAAATGGCCACCACCCTAGAGATAAAGTTTCAAGAACTTCTGCACAGTGTAGCATTGAATAATGAGGTATTGTTTTTTGTTTGCCTGCTGTGCTTTGTTCTGCTATCAAGACCATTTGTGCTCCTGCCTCAGCACTGTGGACAAAAATAATCTCCCTACTGCAGGACACTGTACAAAATATATTCACAAACATGAGCAGCAGTGAAATTGCAAGTGAACATGATTTAACATTTGTATTGTTGAAAGGAGTTTGCTCAAACAACCACAGCAGTGTTTGGCAGGGGAAGGAGGGAGAGAAGAGCAGGTTAGCAAAAGTAAGTCTGATGAGATCGCTTTTTCCTATTCTACAGGCCTACAGCTGAAGACACAGTTGGGTCAACTGGTAATCTCCAAATATACAATGGGAAATCTGTACATATTCTTCACAAAAGGTGACATATTGGTTGAACAAGAAATCTATGGGCTTATCAAATAAAACGACAGGTTAAAGGTAATGGTAAAGGTTCCCCTTGACATTTTTAGTCCAGTCGTGTCCGACTCTAGGGGCGGTGCTCATCCCGCTTTTCAAGCCATAGAGCCAGCGCCTGTCCGAAGACAGTTTCCGTTGTCAAGTGGCCAGCGTGACTAGGGAACACCGTTTTACCTTCCCACCGTTGTAGTACCTATTTATCTACTCACATTTGCATGCTTTCGAACTGCTAGGTTGGCAAGGAGCTGGGACAAAGCAATGGGAGCTCACTCCGTTGCATGGATTCGATCTTACGACTGCTGGTCTTCTGACCCTGCAGCACTGGCTTCTGCGGTTTAGCCCACAGCGCCACCACGCCACAGGTTACCTACCTGTAATTGTAGTTCTTCGAGTGGACCTCTGTGATTCCCACCCTGGGTGATCCGTGCCTGCGCGGCCACTCATTGGAAAGTTCTAGAGCTTCTGTGGTAGCAAAAAACACATTCTATTTTTATTTATTTTTTTATTTATTTATTGGACTTATATACCGCCCCATAGCGCTACAAGCACTCTCCGGGCGGTTTACAATTTTTTAATTATACAGGCTACACATTGCCCCCCCCCCCAGCAAGCTGGGTACTCATTTTACCGACCTCAGAAGGATGGAAGGCTGAGTCAACCTTGAGCCAGCTACCTGGGATTTGAACCCCAGGTCGTGAGCACAGTTTTAGCTGCAGTACAGCATTTTAACCACTGCACCACGAGGCTCAGTGGTTAAAGGCTCAAGTAAGGCCCCTTCCCTGGTCTGTGTGACTTCTTATAGGGAATGGTTGGTGGCAGCTTAGTAAACGTGTGGCATATCCCAGTAGGTCTGGGTTTGTCACAGGGAGGACGGGCTGGATGTGTGAATCAGAGCTCCACTCAAAGAGTCTCCTTCTCCTGCACCATCAGAGCCCTGGTGGAGGTGCCCCAAAACCACCCGCGCCAGCTTTGGGGGTCCCCCAGGGCTTACCTTGCACCATGGGAGGACTCGCCCGGGTCCCTCTGCGTAGCGATCGGCATTTGCAGAGGCTTGTCTGAAACCCTTTTTAAAGTTCTCGCCTCTTCCTCCAGCCTTCGGCAAACCTCGGAAGGGAAAAATGCTTAAGCCCCGGGGGACCCCCAAAGCCAGCGTGGGTGGTTTTGGGGCACCCCCACAAGAGCTCTGATGGTGCAGAAGCCATCAGAAACCTGCAGGGGGTGCCCCGAAACCACCCGCGCCTGCTTTGGAGCACGGGTGATCGTAGAGCAAAAAAGCCCCACTGGAACCATCATTTTGTGATCGCTAAAGCGATCACAAAAAACCGTCAAAAAGCGATTTCGTCATCAAGCGGGGCAACCGTCTAGCAAGACATCACTGTATTGACATTTGTGCCTCAATGTCGATGGAGCCGGCATGTCCATGGGCATTTGTCAGTGTTGAGGATTTTTGATACCGTGAGATGTCATCTGAGTGTCCATGCACGTTGTTTGATATGGTTGCATGTTGGTGTCGAATTCGGGGTCATAATGATGTCAAGTTTGATGGCTTGGTTCTATCAGGTGCCAGAAATCGTGCATCGATAGAGGGACAGAATGAATGTCCATGTACCAGGATGGATGTCGAGGATCATCAATATCAGAGCCTCTGTCTCTGGATGTCAAAACGGAGGTTGTTGACAAGCTGATAAAGCAGTGGCGCATATCAGTGGTCCCCAACCTTGGGCCTCCAGATGTTCTTGGACTGCAACTCCCAGAAGCCTTCACCACATCTGCTGGCCAGGATTTCTGGGAGTTGAAGTCCAAGAACATCTGGAGGCCCAAGGTTGGGGACCACTGGCGTATACAGACACTGGAGATGCCAAGCGAGAGGAATGATTTCTCTCATCTGGATTAGCAGGAAAATATTGGGGAAAAATTGCTCAACTGTCCTGAATCTTTTAGGTGCCAGGTAGAGAGCAGGTTGGAGTCCATGTGGGTCATGGTGATATGGCCATTTCAACAGTGATGGCTGTCAAGATCTAGGCCCGCCATGAGAAAGTACGGCCGAGCTGGATAGACCAAGTGACTGATTGGTGGTTGCTGTTTGTCCGGTCAAGCACTGGTCAGGGCAAATGGCAACTTAATGAGAGTGCTGAACGTGGGTCTGAGCCATGCGTAATGAAATAGACGGCTCCAGGGACTGTTGGGGCCGATGTCTCTGAGGCGGTCGTGGTGGACGATCAGATGTTACCAAATAAGGTATGGCCTCTAGTTGTTGTTCGGAGTCAACCCTGTCAGGTGAAGCAACTATAGAAGGGTTGCTCAAAAGAACAGAGTGTTGAGGACTGGGAGGAGAAGAGGTTAATCGATCGACTCTGTCATCCCATTCCGGAGATTGATTTGGCGGTTTGTTGAAGCTGCTGAGAGATGTCTGCAGCTTTAGATTTATGCTGTTTAGGTCTTTTAGGCGGAGAGGGCTCCAGAACCGAAGAGGCTTCAGTGGACATTTAACATTTAGTGGAGGGCTTCGATATTGAGTGCTTTGATTTATGGGTTTTTGAAGTTTTAAACAAAGTGGATGGAGCGTCAGAGTGGGATGGTGTGGTCAATGGATTTTGTTTCGAGGCTTCAGAAAGAGTCTTCTCTATTGCTTTGGTTTGTGCGGTGGCCTTACAAGGAGGTTGGGCCATTTTGGATGATTGAAGGGATTGTTCCAAAAGATGGAGTTTTAATCTGGATAAGTGGAGGACTCCACACTTGAAGTTCTTACAGGGACTGATTCACAGAGGCCACAAAGAAGAACTATTACTATACATATGTACAGTTCAACGTAATTCTTATGATTTTTGACATGGAATTCTGGGACTTCAGTGAAGATGACAACTAGTCTGCTAAGCATTTCCTAGTCTTTCTTAACAGACCTGGAGTTCCTCTTAATCCCTGGGAAAATTAAATAAATTACAGCAGTTTGTGTCTCTAATGTTTACACACCTTAAGCCTCTCTAGAAGTGTTTCCTGAAATGGGAGGAAACCATTTAAAAAAAAGCCCTGCAGTATGGGATAATTCACAGGGAAGGTGAAATCCCCTAAATTTAAGCAATTTCTAAACCTTTTGGGGGAAAAAAAACAAGAAACAATTTTAATAATGGCCCTTTTATTTAATATGGGGAAAACCAAAGTAGACATTTGACTATTCTTCCTGGAAAAGTAATATTATGTTACAGTTATTACTTGCCACCTGATCTTGTTGGGTTTTCCATTTGGCTATTTAAAACCATAATACCTACATTTGCATGCAGAAACAAGAGAAAGCAGGAGTTATCATTATTTAGAACAGCTAATTGGTATTGTTGGGTGACACATAGGTGGTTAACAGTATTCTGTTCCAGAGATGTGCATCATTTGAATGCATCCATAGTGACAGGAGTAGGTCAGGATGGTTCTTAACAGCTGAAGCTTAATCACTGAAGTAGTTAAACGAGAAAGCTGCAGCAGATATTGCAACAGCCACTGCTATCACCAGTCCTAAAAATTGACAAGAGAAGCAAATTCAGTATCTAAGCAGAAAGCAAGGAGTGGGAATGATACAAACACAGATATACAATCAAAACATTCACAATATGTAAGATGGCAGCAACAGGCTTAGACAGCTACCTGGATACTATTCAGCAAAGCATATATTTTCTCTGTTCCTTCATATACAGATCCTATTTACATAAAGCATTAAGAATCAACACGGAGTAGGGACACTGTGACCAAATTTGGGCTCTGACATGCCTGTGTGTATTGGATGTAGCATGTAACTGAATGTCTGTGTACACAGTCTAATCTCTGAAGGTCTGGTAAAGTGTGGTCCTTAAATGCATGAGCCTCCTTTAGCTATTGGGAAGGACGTCCCTGCTGAACATGCAGAGAGACAGCCATCCAAATAGATAGCCTGTATGGGACAGCTTCAATAAAACCTGGAAATGTTGAGCACAACTCATCAGAACTTTCACAGCTTCCTAAAGTGGACTTAATTTGTGCAAAGAGAGACTGAAATATTGGTTAAGCCTTGCCGGAACCATTGTGGAGTCTAGCATATTAAAATTCTGTACAGTAGAGCTACAGACCTTCAGACACATAGAACTGCTACATGCTATATGCAACGTACAAGGCAAATATGACTCAGGAGGAGGCCATGTGCATTCCTGCATCCCCACTATTCATTCAGGAAAATTGTCCCCACCTACTCAAATATTAGTTCAGAATGCTACCCTGAGCCTTTGAGATATGTTACTCTATGTAATATTTACATTATGGTTGGGAAACCTTTCTCTTGTCAAGAATCCACCCCTGCTACAATCTGGTCCCTCACTGCACCACTGAATTTCAGTGTCATCCATTTAAAAACATGTATTTTGCTTGCTTCAAATTCATCTTAGTGGTTTGCTATTTTTCCTGTTCATCACTGAATTTTTTCAGCTGACTACTATGCTGCATTTAAAAGCAGGTAATATGCTAGCTTCCATGACAGGTATTTTCCAGTTGCTACTAAAATTCAGCTGAGTGTTTTGAAAGCTGCTTGTAGATAGAATGGTCCCCTTTCTGATTTGCACAGATATTTGTAACCACTTAAGAGTTATGACTTTGAATAATTTATGGTTTATATTATTATATAATGTATAATTTGTTGTATACCATCCAGAGTAGCATTTTGCTACATGGGCGGTATATAAACTGAGTGAATGAATGAATGAATGCATGAATGACTGAATCATCACATTTCAGATAGCAAAGATTATTGTCAGGAAGTCAATATATTTCCCTATTTCCCCTTTACACATTTTAATGGTCTGAATCCAATAATCTTAGTCCCATTCTTTTCCCCTATCATAACTGTTGGTAACCCATGGAGAATAAGGACTTTACAAAGGGCAGCACTGTATGACTCTAACAACTTCCACAAACTGCAAATGCAGGTTGCATCCCACCCTAGCTACCCCCCTTTCACCGCAGCTGTACAAGTTGTTGCTGTAAGAGGCAATACAATGATAATTATTTAGCGTTGTTGATCATGCCTGGAAAGCTAACTGTGAGGTGCAAAGTGCAAGAGCAATGGCTGAATCCTACATACCTATATTTTGATGAAGTTTCAATAGAACCACTTCCTTTGTCAACCGCTTTTGTTGCACATCATCCTGGAATTCCTTCGGTGGGATTACTTCTACTGCATTAAAAAAAACATACAAGATGATGTGTCCTTGTGGCCACACCTATTTCCACCCTCCATATCTCAGACAATGGCTCTAGACCAGGAGTTCTGAAACCTTGGATATCCAGATGTCCTTGGACTAAAACTCCCAGAAATCCTAGCTAGCACAGCTAGTATAGTAGTGAAGGCTTCTAGGAGTTTTAGTCCAAGTACAAACAGGGGACACAAGGTTGGGAACCACTGCTCTATATTCTCACCTTGTTTTCAACCTTGCTTGCATAACAAATAACGTACAGAATTTATTTTCAAAATGCACTTTTGGAACCAAGACTGGGGGTAAAAATCCGGAGATATGTACAAAATCATGTTGATTATCTTGAGATTGAGACTTAAGAGTATCTACAAGATACTAATAGCATGTAAGTCTTATTTACGTGTCACAGCCACTGAAGTAACAAAACAAGACTAGCCTGCATGAACTGAAATGCTAAACAAGACTTTATGAGCAATTTGTTAAACTCCTTCTGGTCCCAGCAGCTGAATAATTTAGAAATGGGTATATAATACATGTAGTGACATTTTGAAGAAAGGAAAATAACAGGTTAAAACCCAACAGAAGTTGTGAAGAGTACACACACAACACAATAGGGGGCAATGGTAATTCTCCAAATAAATTCTGTTCATAGAATTTTGCTCAAAGGTAATTGCAAAATACTTGCAGTGCTACACTCTTCATTTGAAAAATAAAGTCAAATAAAAATGCCATCATCCACTCAAAACCTGAATAAGTAGTATTGCTAATCTGTATAAGAAATGCTCATGATTTTCCTGTAGCAGAAACACAAAGAGCTGGATCAAAATCCTCAGTATTGTCACAGTATCTTAGTTTCTAGCACTGTTCCCATGCTGCAAACTACAGTGGTAGGCTGCTTTGACAGGCATGTCAGTGTCCTGGCAAATATTCCAGTCACATATAGAATTTCTCATGGGAAGAATAATGTGGAAATGGAGAAAGAGTATAAAAAGGCATAGCTCAGGAAAAGCTATGTGGCATGTTTACATGCACCAGCCTTTCAGCCTCTTTGGGCTGCAGTCCTACATACGTTCATCTGGAATTCAGTTCCACCAAACTAAGTACAACTAGCTTCTGTGCAGATACACAGATAATCACAGTGTTAGTTGAGATAGATGCATCACTGGCATAATCCTATGTGCCTGAAATCCAGTAGGACCCATTAAACCCAGAGCAAGGTTGAAGTTACATTCAAACTTCAGCAACATTTTAGACATTGTCCTTTTATATTTCCAACACTCAAATCTTCTTTTTCAAGTTTATCTGACTCAGTCCCCACATTATTTTAAGTCTTTTGCCAATGCATTTAAGTCCATACCATAAATAAAAGTGGTACAATATTAATATACAATATTGATACCATCTTGCTCAAAACGTTGCACTTTGTTTCTTGCAAAGTTTGCTCCACACTTACGAAATGGAAAGAATGAATTTCAAATTTCAAGTCAGTGTATAAATTGGAATTCAGGAAATCTCTGTTATACAATATTCAGCTGCATGGCATTACCAAGTAAACCGGGCTCTGCTTGGCTTCTCCTTGGATGCCATCTCAATTATGACACTGCAACTACTCACATGTAAGTCACAACAGCCCAGCTCTAGGTCCTCAACTAGGTAACAGGGAACGAGTTCAGGGAAAGAGATTATCCTCCCTGAAATCTTATTTGTGTTTATCTACTCAGTGGATGTAACCCTTTGATACGAGAAGCTGGGATTTAGCAGAAGCAACTGCCAATGCAAATCTTATTTGTCCATGCCGAAGTACAGACGTCCTTAACAATGAACATCTCTCATGTGCATATTAAATTATGCATCAAAATTGTAATTTTTAAAAAAATATGCAAGTTAATATACTGATGATTTTATTTTGCTCATTCTGAAACTCCGGAGAGGGGTCACTTTTATTTGCAGCTGAGCGTGGAAAAGACATCTTTCTTTTGCTTAGAGCAGTTCTGATTTGGATCAGGACCATGTCATGGGAAGCCTTGAAGAGATAATGGTATGGATTTCTGGTCTGGTCCCTGGGTATAAGTCTCAATAAAAAGTAAACCTGCTTTGAGATTCGATTTTTCTGACCACTGAGTCAAATTCACCAATATGATTAACAACCATACTAGCCTTAGTAATTCAAATTTACATGTTTTCATTTTATTAGGATACTTATATTTAGTTAGTTTGTGTTTTTAGCCTTACTTACAACAGTCCTACCCTTCAGCCTCCCCCAAAACCCTACTACCACATTTGTGATTACAGATCTGTTTCAGACCCTGGGTGACAAGAATCTAAACTGCTCCTTCTCTCTATTCATCTGATGAGGATTCTATATATTCCTTAGAACAAAAAAGGAGAGATGGGTATATGCTACACAAATATAGGTTGAAATGCTGCTTCTTAGCAAAATAAACTGCACTATAAGAAGGCCCATTACTGCAATCAGTTGTGATTTCATGAGTCAACTCCTCTGTAATTCCATTGATTCAAATGGGCCAACTCTAGTTGCAACTCACTGCGCTAAAGTAAATAAGAATTAGAGTATGCCATTTGAATCAAGGGAACTTATGAAGGAGCTGACTCACCAAATCACCACTGATTCAGTGAGCCTCCTCTAATTGCTACTTACTATGGTAAGCAGCAGGATTTCTACTGCTCTTAATCGAGTAGCTAAATTTACCTGTATTCATTTCTTCGACTGTGTACAAATCCTCTGTTTGAACAGCTTGATCCAGCATCTCAAGAAAATGCTCTTGGATCTCCTTGACCGTCTCATCACCAAACTTATAATCACAAAGCAGTACATTGGACCCTGCAATGGGACCAAACACTCTGCAAGGCAAGGTGTGGTATTCCCTTTTTGAACCTAAAAGCAAAAAATGAGGAAGAGAGAAAATAAACAAAACCCCCATTAAGCAGCATTAAAGAACATTATGAATATTGGCATGCACTGTAGCACATGCATGTATAAGAGTATCAACTGTAAAATCTTTCAACAAAGAAAGTGTTGATGTAAACATAGTATCAATGCTACCTTTGCATACATTTTTCCTTCAGCTTAATTATGCGTCCTTCTAGGCTGTCAGCATCCAATTTTAGAGGCATTTGTTTTTAATGCTTTTATTCATATCTTTAAAAGTTTGGAAAAAACCCTCCAAATTATTTGGTAAGGTATTAAATGTTACACATATTTTAATGCTTTATGTTCAAAAAGAAAGCATAAACATCACACATAATGTAACATTCCCTATTTAGAAATGTTCTGGTTGTGGAAAACAGTTGCGGTGTTAACATAGTTTGTCCAAGTGGTAATAAGCCCACTGTTCTTGCACTACACAAAGTGATCACTTAGATGGGCCCACAAATTTGTAAGAAATTCCAGTTTTGCAATAAATATATGCACAATCTGCCTTTGCACAGTAAGGCAGATGAACACAGTTGCCTACACTAGATTTTCTTGCTTCCTGGGCACGGGATTCAATATCCTTTTGTCACCTACTTTTGATACTAAGATAAATAATGTGCAGGTGGAGAATCAGCTTGTTGTGATAAGCAGGACTTCTCAGCAAAAATATAGAAGGATGTGTATATGTGGATCCTTGTGGATAAACTTCCCAGCAAAGGAAAGGGAATAAGAAAACTAGGAAAGGAAAAACTATGCCCAGAATATATTTTGCTGGTCTTTCTAAACCACCAGGACAGCATCACAGCTTCTGATGCAGGAGACTTTGGTCTAGAACTGCTATTTGCTTTAGAAGTGCCAGTAGTTCTTTGTTGTTTTTGCCTCAGCAAACTAAGACACTGTAAGCTGGAAAGCTGCAAAAAAGGAAAAAAAAAAGGGGGGGGAAAGAACCTGAGGGGCTCAGAATGTTTACAGGAAGCAGAAGCAATCATGAACAAAGGATTTGAGTCTAAGCCATCCTTGGCACACAGTATGCCAAACTCTTCACAATATAGACAATATGTGCCACCTACCGACAAACATGAAAATTGCAGACAGTTAATAACACAATCATTTAGATACATTAGTTAATGGAGTTACACAAAGAATAGCACCTAGAATCTAGGCTGTATCTTATTATGCACTAGTTTATGCTGCCAACAGTTTCCATACAGTTCATGGCAAGCGAAAACAAAATAGGAAAAAAAAACCCACACAGAAGATGGGAGAAACTGCCCCAGCTGTCACAATATAAGGCTTGAAAAGTGGTTTGCATTTCCTCAGCATTTTTTTTTTTTTGGGGGGGAGCTATTGCATATCTCAGCAGAATGACCTGTGAAGCACCACATTTGCTACAGTGTGCAGTTGCAAAATCTGTAATGAGCAAATAAATTCAGAGAAGCAAGCAGCTAGTAGTACATATTCAAAGCAGCTTACATGTATCTTAAATGCAGAATCCACTGAATGCCTTGCTTCTGCAAGAGCATTATCAGGAGAAATCTACAAGGGAAGCATTTCCCGGCACAAAAATAAGTATAATCAATTATTTATGTGCTCAAACGTGCAACAGCCAATTAAAAAAAAACAACAGGCCTCAATTCAACACTGCAGGGGGACCTTCTTTCCTTACCTGCTCTAGCAAATTATTTGCTTGAACTGAATAGAAACTGCTCACAACATTATCCAGCATATGACAGAATATGCACTTGATAGAAGATGCTATAAAATCCACTTTATTCACTCTGTGGGGAAATTTTTTAACTGAGATGTCCAAACTGCAACATGCAAGACTGCACTAGCGTTGGGACTTCTTTTTCGTCCCCACAGTATCCTCTGGAGGGTTTTCCATTCCTTCAAAATTCATTTTTAGGGCATACAGGGGACTGCAAGGGGGAGGGACTATGCCCTTCCCACTTTTACCAGGGGCAGCATCTCACTAATTACTGTCCATAATAGGCAACAGTCAAACACATAGATTTATATGATTCTAATTTTTTCTTTTCACTACTTAATGAGCACATTGTTCATCTTATCAAAGGCAATTCTCCTGGGGAAACCTAACCGAAAGTGGCAAAACTACCTTAATTTAAAACTCCAAGTGCCCAAACACTTTCTTTTCCCCATTACCTTTCTCTTGTGATGTTTCATTTATAGGCATGTCTTCAAACAAGATTTCACAACCATCAGAGAGGGTGTTTATTATGTCTTGTTTCAAAGCCTATAAAGTCAAGAACAAAAAGATACAAATAAGTGCTAAAGTTCAAAAAATTACCCCCAACTAAAAAAATAACTGTCTTCTACATTTAACGCCCATTTTTCCAGTGAAATGAATGAAGTATAGTTACACACAGCAAATCTAAGATCAAAAGACAGCAGTGCATTTCCTTTCCATTTCTCCATAGGCATCTATAGTCAGAAAACATTCGGTTGCTGTAAAAACCACATGGACATGGATTAGAATGAAATAAAATAAATCTATTTTGGATATCTAGAATCAAATGCATAATATTTAAGCTTTGAAGGGAAGTGAAAGAATTAGGCCTTATATGACCAACATGCCACCATTTTTTATATTTGTCTATTTATTAGTAATTTGTGACTATGCTTCCACAATTTGGTCGCATCTTAGGAAGAAGCTGAACATTAAACAGCAATGTGGAAACTCAACCTTCCTTCAGGGCTGAACCGTTTTTATTTTATCTAAAGGAGGAAAGAAGATCCAGCACAATCCAGCAATGAAGTGAGACAGCTGCTGGTGTACATCCTGTATGTTTGTCATCCCTTCAAAACAGGGAAAGTTGTGTCTGATCTTTGATCAACCCCTCTCAGGGCTGTTAAGTGCACAGGCAGAAGAGAAAAATAAAGGAGAAGGGAGCTCCCATTCCGATTCATCCCCTCTTCCCTTTGACAACACTGCCAGCCAGGTCCTGGCCAGCTGGTCAAATATGGTTCAGAATCTGGGACTGCCCCTGCCTCAGTTCATGTTGCCACCAATATGTGAGGCTCTAATCTTTTATCTGCTCATTCTCAGAGGAGTCCCAGCAAGCTCAGATTTCCTTTTGAGCTGACACATACAGAACTGCATTCAAGGGGCCATAAATATGCAAAGCAAAACATCTCCATTTTTTCCTCCCAGAACTAAACACAAACATCCAATCTACTTTTGTCAGAACTGAGACAGAATTTGTACTTTTCTCAAACAAAGGCAGAATAGAAACGATTGGTTTGCACTTGGGATTTTTCAGTGAAATATGTGGGTGAAAACTACAGCCCACTGCAATTATCATTTTTGGAGTATGCTAATTTGAAGTCGATTTCAATGTCAGGTGAACAGAGTATCTGGTACAGGAAAGATATTATGACCAAATCCTTCAACAGACTGAAGAACAACAAAAGTACCTTAACAGCATCTTTAACTTTGGGCTTGTTATTATGGATGTAAGCTTTGCATTTTAAAGCACCTTTAAGGTTTATTGACCCACTGCAGACCTGGACCGTTGCTGTGGATCTGGAATTTGAACTTTGTGACTGGAAAAGGAAAAAAAAACACACAAAAAAGTATTATATAATTTATTATTTATTAAACAGTCAGTTTTACATTGTCTCAAAACTTGCAAATGCTGCTAGAAATGTAGTTTTTATAGTACCCTACATTCCACTAGCTATTATTTTCTCCCTTAAAAACCAGTTTAATTTGACCTTCTATAATTAAAATGTATTCTACAATGAATTAAATTTATATAGCTAGCTTACTTCTTATTTTTACATGAAGTGCAACAGATCTTGCTCTTATACTGTTGACTAACGTAATAGGACACCCACAAATTTATAACATACAAAAGCAATAGCACAGATTAAAATGTTACCACTTTAGCCTCATTGTCAGTTTAAAACACCAGGGGCAAAACTAAATGACCTTTAATCTTGATTTCTGAAGACTAACACCAGGATACTGAACATGATGAGACCCCTCTAATTTTCATCTAGTCTCCTGGAACATCTGAATGATTCCTACAGAATTAAGGGTGGCAACCACATCTTTAAAGCCTGACAAGCTGTAGTACAAGTTTCATAACCTGCAGTGCAGAAATGGCAACACAGTACTTAACAAGACTTTCTAGAACATTTAGCTCTTAATTTGAGAGACAGTAGCTTATCTATGGCTCCTTAATAGAGATAACCACTGAGAAGAAATCTGCAGCAGGGATGTCCCAGATCGCATCTGTTGATCACCATCCTACCTTAGCTCTGAAAAACACCTCTTCCTTCCTGCAGTAAGTCTTAGAAGCAGCCCGCCACTAGCATTTGATCTGAGGTCAAGTCACAACAAGTGGATTCACAGAAGGAGGTGAGATTTGCATCAAGGACTTTTCATACCACCTCATCATCTACCTGGTGAATTTACTAAAATAAAAGGGAAGCTGCAAGAGCAGGTGATACCTATTCTACAAATGCAAGAGTATGCAATACTTTAATAAATAAAAATATCATAATACAATATGTGAGCTTCTGGGGATCAGGGCCATTGAATTTGCTTACCAACTGTGTTAGAACTTGAACATCAAAGGTTTGAGTAGCTGATGGCATGTTTCTTGTAGACTTTTTCTGTAAGGATAATTGAAACACAGAAAGCAAAATGTTCATAGGTCTTATATTCTAAAACATAATCCACAGGGAGAAGGATGCCTATTCAAACTTTTGCATAATTCAATAATTATATATCATTGAGTTTTTCAAAACAAGAATTAAAATAACATTTTTACAACATTACTATATATAAAAAGTGGAGATAACAAATCTTCATTGAAGCTTCTTGGGTCTCCACATGTTGCAATGCAGTTTTGCTATGTGACTTTTTAAACATTCCAAACCAAAGAAATGCAGTTTCAAAATAAAGAGGTACACTTAGGTCAGAAGGAGATGCATAATGACTGAATCGGAAAAGGAAGACTGATGGCGAGATCCTTTGTTTTGTTTTTAAAAAGAAACAAGTAATTGCTATGGTCAATTCAAAGAGATTATTGAGGATTCTGTTTGGTCCATATTTGGAAGCCACCCAGTTTGATTCCCAAATGAAGAAACTCCAAATTGATGCACTGCTGAATTTAAAACAAAGAAATCAGTTTCAAAATAACCAACACTGTATAATAATCTACATGTCATCACAAAATATTTGCTAAAATGCATACATTTGTCTGCAGACTGTTGTTTTTTAAAATGCAGATTAGTATGGTGATGGATTGGGAGGAAAGCAATGACAAACATAGACAACATCTTAAAAAGCAGAGACATCATCTTGCCGACAAAAGTCCGCATAGTCAAAGCTATGGTTTTTACAGTAGCGATGTATGGAAGTGAGAGCTGGACTATAAAGAAGGCTGATTGCTGAAGAATTGATGCATTTGAATTGTGGTGCTGGAGGAGACTCTTGGGAGTCCCCTGGACTGCAAAGAGAACAAACCTATCCATTCTGAAGGTAATCAACCCTGAGTGCTCAATGGAAGGACAGATCCTGAAGCTCAGGCTTCAATACTTTGGCCATCTCATGAGAAGAGAAGACTCCCTAGAAAAGACCCTGATGCTGGGAAAGTGTGAAGGCAAGAGGAGAAGGGGACGACACAGGACGAGATGGATGGACGATGTCATCCAAGCTACCAGCATAAATTTGACCCAACTCCAGGAAGCCATGGAAGACAGGAGGTCCTGGCATGCTCTGGTCCATGGGGTTACAAAGAGTCGGAAATGTCTTAACCACTAAACAACAACAAAAATGCAGATGGAAGACATTCTTGGTGGCTCTTCCCAGGCTATAAGCCTATCAGTGAAAAATGCCACACCAAACACTCTGTTTTACATCAGCATTAAGCCTACATTGTAGAGCACTTACTTGCCCTTCCACTAGGTCACTATCATCATCTTTGACTTGACCGTTGATCAAAAAGACAGCTCCCTCTATCTGTTTGGCCCATCGCGCTATTCCATTCTGGAAAGAAAATGTGAAAGAAAATTAACTCACAGGGAGACAATTGAACCATCTAACACTTTTTTCCCTTCAAAGAGAGTTAAGACTCTTCAGTACATCTTTTTTAAAGCAACGAGCATGGAAGGCTAAACTGTAGAGAACTTTCTGTTTGAAGCCTCCCACCCAACCTTCCTCCAGGTGAGGAAAATTCAGGTGTAGATCTGACAGGTGGAACTCCCAGAATGGAGAATTCTGGGATTTAGAGCACTGGTTCTTAACCTTGGGTTACTCAGGAGTTTTGGACTGCAACTCCCAGAAGCCTTCACCACCAACTGTGCTGGCTGGGGTTTCTGGGAGTTGCAGTTCAAAAACATCCAAGTAACAAAGGTTAAGAACCACTGATTTAGAGTTCAAAAAGAGCCCAATAACACAAGCCTAGCCCTTGTGTTCATTAAGAAATGTGTTCTCCAACGGCTCATTCACATCATCCTGTTTTTTGAGTGACTTTACTAACGAGGAACTTGCCATTAAGAACACAATGCTACAATAAAGTCAAGACTCCTCATTTGTTGTTCCCAAACAAACTAAGAATCATAAACCAACTTCAAACCTTGTCTTCAGACTGTATCCCACTAACAACAAACAAAAAACAAGGAATTATGTTCCTGGTGTCATGTTAAAAGCATTTCGCTGTAGTGAATTCCTTGTTACAGAAGCCGCTCGCCTGGCAGAAGCCAAGAGAGATTCACAATGCAATATGCACCAACCAACTCATTTTGCAAACATTATAGCAGTCAAAATTATAGTTTCTTTGCCACAACTACTAGAAAAGATTCACACCTCAAGCAAATGTTTAAAACAGCTTCTCAGTGAAAAACAAACTACAGCTAAAATGCAATAGTTAAAATATAACTAGAGTAGGCTCAATGAATCAGTGAATATTTGGTGAGTAAACACCTATTTGTTGCTTTGCTTTGAATTTGATTTTTGTGTTGATTTTATTTACTGTTTTAGAGTGATGTTTTTTTGAACATTTGTATACTTCTATATTTTATCTGATTTCCCTGTTGTAAATTCAAACCGGATCCATATGAATTTTTCCCACTGTGTATTTGTACCCAGAATTCCTCTGATTCAGTGGACCTACTACCATTGCAACTTATTATTGGATTTCAGGCACCAAGTTATGAAACCTAAAAACGCTCAATAAGATAAAATAAATCAATTGATTTATTTTATAGTATAGTATAATCTTACTATTCAGTGGAATTCTGAGTACAAACATCTTTCATTTTATCAATTCCTCAAAAATTGATAAGTGAAAAAGATATCATAAAGTTAAATACATGATTTACCCTTTCACAATATGTATTACATTTTGCCTTTTCTCTCCCATTATGCATTTTGATAAATTGTACTAACAGTAGCACTAGGCACTATACAGAACTTAGCATTTACTTGGCAAAATACAATGGAACAAGGATAAAGAAAAATCTTTTTAAAGACAATAGCAAAAATATGATAAAAATGAGTTGGAAACAGATTGGAGAAGACTACTAGCACTGTGATGATTTGGGATAGGCCCAGATAAAAAGTATGCTGGGGGAGATCTGAGAGCAGGGAGTGTCTTAAGGGGCAGACCATGGCTCAGGAACAGCAATGCAGATGAAACAAAAGTAGGAATTCACAAAAATATTGTTTTAAGCTGGAAATATTAAAATGAAACATGCAAGTTGGGAATTGCATCTGCTTCATTACCCTTGTATTTTTTTCCAGGTCATGGCTGGCCGATGTAGCTGGTAGTGGGATGTGTATATTCACATTAATAGTGCATTCTAAAGATGCCCAAGAAGTGGCAAGGCCATTCTGATATTTCCAGTCTGCTGGCTTGGCCGTACTCTAAAAGGGAAAATAAGAAGAAACAAACTTTCAAAATAAGCCACTTCTCTAATTGACAAGATCTACATATTTGTAGATCCCCTTCATGGATTGCTGAAAGGGCCATGAAGTACAAAACAGCAAACAATGAAAGCCATGATGACCCTCATTTTGCAGATGTTAAGTCATCCAGGTAACAATGTTTTTTTTCCTCTGAGTCTTCCTGCATTGTGGGAATCAGTCTGTTATGTTATGCTGTGTTTTTATACCACACACACTGTATTTTAAACCTATGACTATGTTACCGGGCTTCAAAATAGAAACATTTTCCCCTTCTCATTGATTACCTTTGCAAAATTAAGTTTGACAGTCCTGCACTGCTTGAGCCTGAAGCACTGTTCTCCACAGAATTCTTGTATCTCTTTTGCAGCTGTTGGCAATTTCAGGCTATAGCTCTGATTGTGCACCATCTCAGCATGTCTAACACACCTTTTTGAAACAAACCAGAACCTGAAAGTGGTAACAGCAACAAAGATTCAAAAATCCTTCAGCGTATAATCCTTTAAACACAAGCAGCAAAAGACAGTCAAACCTAAATCTTGTACAGAAATCTGGCAAGAAGAGAGAGCACCAGTGTTCAGCATTCCTTCTCCCTGCTGCTCTGGAAAACCTCCTGGTTCCTGGATGGTGGGGTGAGGGGTTGGAAGGACCAAAAACACTGCCCAGTGCTAATTATATCTCTACAACGGTCTCTAGCTAAAATTTTCATGTAAATGCCTGCATCAGTAAGAAACAAAAGAGCCCATTCATTCTAAGCAAAGTTCTATTCCTATGAAGTGAGGTTTGCAAAGAGAGCCTTGCCAAATTGAGCCCAGAGTTAACATGCCCCACACAACACACCCCTTACCTTTGGGTCTTGTACATCATATGTGCGACAAAATATTCGTTCTCAGTTAAGAAAAATTAACAAAGTGTTCCTAAAGCACACTATAACAAACTCTTAGGAGAAAAGTCACTTTACTCACTGTAGAATATACATCCTTTGATTTCAGACAAGCTGAACTCAGACTCATGTTTTCAGATCACCATATATTAAAAGATCAGTATGAGGGCTTATCAGTATAAATACAGTAGTACCTCGGTTTACAAAAGGGACGTGGTGGCGCTGCGGGCTAAACCGCAGAAGCCTGTGCTGCAGGGTCAGAAGACCAGCAGTCATTAGATCGAATCCACACGGTGGAGTGAGCGCCCATCACTTGTCCCAGCTCCCGCCAACCTAGCGGTTCGAAAGCATTCAAATGCAAGTAGATAAATAGGGACCACCTCGATGGGAAGGTAACAGCATTTCATGTCTAAGTCGCACTGGCCATGTGACCATGGAAGATGGTCTTCGGACAAAACGCTGGCTCTGTGGCTTGGAAATGGGGATGAGCACCGCCCCCTAGAGTCGAAGACGACTGGACAAAAAAAATTGTCAAGGGGAACCTTTACCTTTACCTCAGCTTACAACGTTAATGCATTCTCTGGGATGTTACGTGAAGCAAAAATTACGTTAATTGAAATGTGGATTGCCATAGGAATGTCAGGTAACACCTATAAATAAATGGATATCTATTCACATACACATACCTCTTTCTAAAATCAAATGCGATTTCTGAAAGGCACATATACATGAGTATATATAAATTGATTTATGAGTTCAAGTGGACATTCAAAACATCAGCTTTTTATAATTTATTAGTTCAAATACTACCAAGCTTTTCATGGTATGCCTGGTGGCAGGACAGGCTTTGTCAATGAGCATGGCTATGAAACAGTTTTATTAAAATCTTATACAGATTTACGTATAAATCAATCTGTATTCAGTAAGTCTTAATCCCAAGTAACTGTGCATAGGGTTGCCACCTGTGTTATTTAAAATCAGACGAATCAGAGTAGAAATATTAGCATACTCTCTGCATGCTAAAGGGACGTGGTGACGCTGTGGGCTAAACCGCAGAAGCCTGTGTTGCAGGGTCAGAAGACCAGCAGTCATTAGATCGAATCCACACGGCGGAGTGAGCACCCATCACTTGTCCCAGCTCCCGCCAACCTAGCAGTTCGAAAGCATGCAACTGCAAGTAGATCAATAGGAACCACCTCGGTGGGAAGGTAACAGCGTTCTGTGTCTAAGTCGCACTGGCCATGTGACCATGGAAGATTGTCTTCGGACAAAAACACTGGCTCTATGGCTTGGAAACGGGGATGAGCACCGCCCCCTAGAGTCGAACACGACTGGACAAAAACTGTCAAGGGGAACCTTTACCTGCATGCTAGACTGTTGTAAAAAGGATACTTCTTTGTAACAGAACAAAGATGAAGAGCCACTCTGTCTGACATGTCGTCATCTGATGTCTTCCACAACCTTTTTCTAGCTATAGTTTTTTCTACTGAAAAAACAAGCTACGAGAGGAAGAAAATAAGAACAGAGTTACATTTCATTTCCATTTGCCATAATATACTGGGGGAAAAACCTCAAATTATCTTTGCTAAAACCAAAATCTGGCAGCTGTTTCCAAGGCAAGATATTTCTGTACTCATCATGAGCGGCTTCAATGAATTCTTCAGTGCAGAAAACATTCAGTATTCCGATTCAAGCATTTGTATTAGCATCACTGCATACAGGGCTGAAAAGTGTTGCTTCTCCCATATAAACCTGCAGAGACCTCTGTCTCACAGAATAACGAAGAGATCTCTAGAGAAGATTCTTAAAAGGACCGCTGCACCCAGGCTCGAGACTTCCTTTCGTAGAGATGCCTGTCTAAACCCTTTTGTGATACTTCTGTCCCAACAAGTGAAGACATCTCATTTGCATATTTTCTTTTTCTGCTGTCTTCTGGAATTTTTAGCTGATCATGATAAAATTATAAAGTAACAGAGAAGTATATGTATCAAACTGCTTTTACCTGTTTGTTAACTTGTCCTTGTAGACTTTTCATTTCAACATTACTTTAACTGCATAATTTAACAACATGAGCACTTAGACAGGTACACGCTTCCATAGGTACTTACATAGAACAGAAGGATGATATATGTTTAATAAACAAGTCTGTAGGTTAAAAACTGCTATTCAGTAGGGTCTAAGAGTGAGCGTTAGCTATGTCTTCTGCATAATTTACCTTCCGGAGAGTATTTTGGATTTCTTTTGCCACCTCTGGAACTGCAATAGTAAAAACACCCAGAACAAGCAGTCCTCCAGGAAGCATTCTTGAAACCTAATGAGTCAAGCCAATAGAAATCATGTTAGGGTTACTTTCTAAATGGATCCACCTGTATAGCTCAATGAACCACAGGAGTTCCACAAGGGATGTGGCAAATAAGTAGAGCATTCCTCGCTCTGCCTTGTTGACAAATCTCATGTCCTGTAGGCATCCTTCAGTCTCGAGAGACTATGGTAATGTGCTCTGAATAGAGGTCTTGGAACAGTGTCTAGTGTGGCTGAGAAGGCCAATTCGAGAGTGCAATCCCTTCCACACTGAAGACAAATACAATCTGTCCCCTATCCAGCTCTCTGATTTTGCTGCTTTTGGGACTGCCTCTTTGCCTCGGCATGCTGGACAAGTGCCTCTTCAAATTGGGAGAGGCCATGCTGCATGCCTGCCACCAGCCTTGAATGCTCAGACGTCAAGATTTTCCATCAGTTGAGGTCCATTCCTAAGGCCTTCAGACCCCACTTGCAGATATCCTTGTATCACAGCTGTGGTCTCCCTCTGGAGTGCTTTCCCTGCACTAATTCTCGTTATAAGAGATCTTTTAGAATCTGACCATCAGCCATTTTCACGACATGCCCAACGTAGATATTGCTGAAATCTCATGAATAATACACATAATGCCTATTTAGGGATAAAGAATACAGAATCCACAAGTAGGACTCTGCTCACCATCAGCCATTCTCACGACATGCCCAACGTAGATATTGTTGAAATCTCATGAATAATACACATGCCTATTTAGGGATAGAGAATACAGAATCCACAAGTAGGACTCTACTTTCTTTAAGGGATTCTGTCTCACAATTCAGTTGGCCAGAAGAGGCCATTATACTGAGATGCAACTTAAATGGGGTTTTACAACTTAAGGGATATAATAATAACAGTCTCAGAACTGCAGAGCTGGAAGGGAGCCTACAGATCATTGAATCCAGCCCGTCAAGGAGGTACAGTGGAGAACTGAACTCCCAACCTCTGGCTCCGCAGCCAGAGACCTAAATCATTGAGCTATCCAGCAGTTCTATCTTATCAACAAATGACTTGCCTTCAATTTCAAATTACATTTCTGTCCACAGTACCTACTATGCAATGTTAGGGCAAAGATACAAAATAAGAGAACAAGGTGGGGAATGTATGGTCCTTCAGATCGAGTTAGGCTATGTTATCTAACAGAGCTAGATAACATAGGCTAGGATAGTGTCAATATGATTTTGTATTGTCCACTCCACCAGAACTACTGTACAAAGTATGTTGCCTGAATTTTATTAAATCTTTAGGGGAAATCTGGACTAAGTTTGTTTTATGTTACCAGTGAAGGTAGATGATATCATGGAAAGAATTGCAGGGTTTTTTTGTTAGATGATATCATGGAAAGAATTGCAGGGTTGTTGTTTTTTTTGATAAACTGTTAGGAGGCAATGTTCTGCTCTTAATTGAATGCTTTCTGCATTTTGCTTTTTGGATTCTGTAAATATGAGTTCTTAACAAAATAGTTTGATTATGTCTTACTGCTTTCTATGCCAATAAAGGTTATTATTGGTTGTTTTGAGTTTTTGGGGCTGTTTGGACATGTTCTGAAGGTTGTTCTTCCTAACGTTTAACCACTCTCTTTGGCCGACATCTTCAGAAGACAGGAGTCAGAACTCTGTTTGTGCTTTGGTGCAGTTTTGGGATAGCTGAGTATTTATAGCTGTGGGATCAGCTTTTGTCCTTTTCAGGAGATTGGGAGATTATGGCTATCAGCATGCAGGCCACAGAGACTGGCGAAAAGTTAGGAAGAACAACCTTCAGAACACGGCCAAACAGCCTGAAAAACCTACAACCACCATCAGATGCCATCCATGAAAGCCTTTGAGAATACCAAGGTTATTATTGTTGTTTTTGTTATTATTACATGGAAGTATCTGGAACTAAAAATTCTGCTGTCAAGGTGTGGCAGAAAAATTCAACTTAGGGCGAGACTACAATTTAGGGTTAAACTACAAATAATTTGAGAGTTGTGTGGGATTATTATTGTATCGATTTACATCACATGCTCTTTGTGTCACTATCCCCATCTTCGTGGGGCAGCCTCAACTGAACTGAGCTGATTCGGTGCAGGGGACTGAACAGTTCTTTAAATGGCACTAAATATAGACCTGGGGTTGGCACTTTGATCTAGGTCTGTCCTGATTCCACCTGCACTGTGTTCTTGTCCTTAACTGTCTTGTCCAAAATTATTTTTTCTCTTTTTTTAATTCTAAGTGGCATAGTGCTATATCAGTGCTGCAGTCAGACTCCAGCACCTACATGATTTCTTTTTTTAATTCTAAGTGGCATAGTGCTCTATCAGTGCTGCAGTCAGAAAGACTCCAGCACCTATGTGATTCGGTGCTAAAGTCAAACAGTTTATTAAAAAAGAGAGAGAATCACTTCAGACAGCAGGCATCATTGCTAATTTCTCAATGGGCCAGCAGCTGCACAACCTCACACACATCACTAAGACATCAGCACAGGGAACACACAGAATACAACACGTCATTCACACAAGCAAAAATGGGTCAAAAAACAGGACAACACAAAACCATTTAAAAGAAACAATATCCTGATAGGTGTTTTTTTAAAGTGACTCTTCGAAGAAAAGTGCAAGTGTCCCCTAATACGGGATAGTAAGGAAAATTTGAATCAAATTGCATTATGCTAAACCAAAAGTAATTGGAGGAGTGTGTTGCAATATAGTTGCATCTTAAGTTAATTTGATAGCTAACAGCAGAATCCAACTCATAAATTATGCCAAGGCATAAATTTCAAATGTGAACTGCTGCAAGTTTAAAAAAGGCAGGAAAGTCATTTACAGTTGGAGGCCAAGTAAATTCATAGCTAAGATTTACATGACAGACCTACACTGGCAGGATTTGGGCCATCATAGTTATGCACCTTATCCTAGTGTTTGTCAATGTTTAGTTTAAGCAACTAAACTGCTAAAAATCAGAGGCATGCAATAGCTCAAAAACCCATTCCCAATAAGGAAATTGATTGGTAAGAACAGTAGCATTTTTGAGAACCAGACTGAATAAAACAGTTTATAACCTGATTGGCGTGTGTTGTGATCCATTCTTCATCAATATTAGACAAGTTTGAATGGTAATTTGCACTCTTTTCACTTCCTTCCTCTTTGGGAGGTGTTCGGATAGCTAGTAAGACATAGTCTCTTTGCTGGGCACACTGGAAAAGGGAAAAGGAAAAAAAGTGCTCTAAATTGACAACAAACCCAAGTTCATACATTAGTAAACAGGTCTATGGAGATGGCACTTCAGGAAGGCTGATATTAATGGGTTAACATAGCCTACATTTACAATCATTTACTGAAGTAATTTCCTAAGCTCTCTTCTACTTCTTAAACACAATTCTCCATTACTGAGGTCTGATACAACTCACTGGGAAATGTGATTCTATTTCAGCCTTAGTAAAAAAAATTAACAAAAGCCATATAGCTGAAGCTAGTTGCTTACAAACGATTAATCTATCAAAATGGCATTTTCATGATTTATCTATAATGTACTAAAACACAAGAAATTGAAACCTGTCACTGCTCTACAACTGTTCTTTCAAGGCATAGACATTGTTCCATACATACACACCATTCATCATCTTACTTTATTCATGTAAGTCTGTTGCTTAAATTATGGATCTCTATAAAATTTAGGTAAAAATTTAAAAAAATTAAAATGCTAATAATTATTGTCATTTGTGATCCTAAAAGAATTGTTGGCTCACTTTGCTCATCAGCAAGTCTGCAGTGCAATGCTCTTGAAAATGATGGACATGATACCCCGGGGACAACCGAGTGTACTCACAATGCTTTCCACTCTTGAGAAGGCTCCTTATAAGAAAAACCCATTTCCAATGTACAAACCATCACAGTATATCAGCAGAGTTCCTAGAAACCAGGAATTACAAGTACAGTGCCATTCATTTCCATTGGACTTGGACAAACTCTCTTACCAGACTGTGCCTTCAGGTGGCATTTCTAAGCATGCTGAACTCTATGGATCTCTCTAAGTATGTATAATAACAGAGCAAGATGTTTAGGGTTAACTGGTGTTGTCATTAAAATTACATGTATATTTTTTTCTTCAGAAAAGAGGTTCCTAACATGTGGTGTGAGAGTAAAAAGAGAAGACTCCCTTAAAGAAGTGGTTCTCAACTTTTGGTCCTCTGAATAATTTGGGTCTCAACTCCTCAAATCCCTTTCCTTCCCATCTAGAGGACCAAAACTGGACATTCGTTGCTAATACGCAAACCAACCAACCAACCAACCAACCAACAGCAACAACTTACTTACCTGACCTATTAAAAGACCAGTGACAAGCGCTTTGGGCTTGTCGTTCAGCTCTGACAGATACTGTCCAACAGATTCTTCAACATAATAGCTTCTTCCCATTATTACTGATATCTAGCAGCCCAATCGAAAACTTTACAAGGACAGAGAAAAAGATCGAATGACCCTGGGAATTAAAAAGAAAGAAATTCGTTTTTTATTCAAGTCTGAGACCAAATAACACCTGAGCATCTGAGGCGAGGTGCAGCCCCTGCTTCTCTAATACTGTACTCCTAGCACAACGCCCACCTCACCTCCTCAAGCCGGCCCTCTCATGCCCGCTACATCAGCTGTCTGGCGGGTTGCCCCGGCAAAGACTGAGGTGTCCCACCGCCCGTCATCTCCGAGCGCCCGGCCTGGCGCGATTCGATGACGTCAGTCACAGGCGCTGGTTAGAAATTGATTGAGGCCATTCAAAAAAAACAACTGTTTTTTTTTTTGCGTCCGTCATCTTGTGCGTGGCGGAAATGTACCCCCAACAATACCCTCTCCTTTTCAAAACTCTTGCTGCTTTTATTCTCCGCCGCCATTTCACCAGCCATTTCCGTTTCTGTTTTTAACTGAAAGAAAAATGGAAAGAAATCTGATGCGCACAATAACTACTGTATTAGTTACTGGAAGTTCCTTTGTATCTCCGCTGGCGCGGAAAATCTTCCAAGCCGCCCCTCTGAACCACCATAGATTTCTAAAAGTATTAGGTGGACCATTCCTTTATCTGGATTCAAAATTTCTTGTGACAGTATTTCGGATGCCATGTTCTTCTTCTGTGCCGTCAAGTCGCCACCGGTTCATGTTGACCCTATGAATGTGCGATCTCCACCATGTCCTGGGTTCAGCAGCCCTGCTCCGTTCTTGCAAAATCAAGCCTGTGGGTTCCTTAGGGTGCCAATCCATCTAGTATGTGATCTTCCCCTTTTCCTGCCGCCTTTAGCGTTTCCCAGTGTTAGTAGACCGGGGTAACACCAGCAGTATTGTTTGTTCCACTGATAAAGGATTCTGCTATCGTACAAAAACATAACAAAGGTCCTTGTGTTGCCTGCCCATGTGGAAGATTCCAAAATCTGTATTAAGGTAGCATCCTTATTAGAACAACCAAAAGAGGCACAAACGTTTGAGATCTCCAGGTCCCTCATCAGGCAAAATACTACAAAAGGCGGGGGGGGGGGCATTATCTGGTGGTGTTGAAGTCACCGGTATCTGCGAGGAGTCCCAGATGAAATGAGGGATTCATTATATGCTGCTTAAGCAAGTACTGTAGTATGTTTTTTAGGTTTCTTTTAGAGCATGTTTTTAGGTTTCTTCTAAAGATGCAAAGAGCAAGCAAGGCAAAATACTGTATGTATGTATGAAATCCAGCTGTAAATGCAGAACTGCCTCCCTCCTGGACGAACTTTTTCTTATCAATGGAAAGAGAAGTCATTTTTGATTCTAGGAGGTAAATGAAGTATATACGGGCCATAGTTTTTCCAACTGATTGAATGAATATTGAAAGAAAAATCCCGGCTTCAGATGATGTACAGCGCTCTTCCTGCAGTTTGGGATTGTGAGGCGGGGTGCCATGCTTACTATTCTTGAGCAAGTGAAACTTGACTGTACTCAGAAGCAGCGATTTGGCTTAGTTGTGAGTAAGTATTTTAAACTCCATCCGAAAGCTGGTGTTTTAAACCAAGGCTTTACTTTGGATGGGAAAAAAAAAGATTTTTAAATACCCTCTACCCTGTTAACACTGCTACCTGGCTATGCTCAAATGTGGCATTGTGCTGTGTAACTGAAAGAAGGTGACTTATGAGAGACCGACAAGTCCGATTCATTACGTATCTGTTGCTAAAGGACCTCCATCTTTTCGTAGGCCAGAGATGTTAAAGAGCATTTTACACGAGCAATGTACAGTACTGTAGTTTCGCAAACAATAGATATCGGTCACAAGCTCCTGTTGGTTAAATCCCTGTCTTGCGAAAACTAGGTTTCCACGCTTTTCAGGGACAGACGTTCTCCATACAAGACTGGTCACTTTCCGTGTCTCATAAAGCCATCACATCACTCGGGTAACTGTGTTCGGTGTCTTCAGACAGGCAAGAGCACTCTACTTTTTTTTTAAAGCCTTCTAGCTCTGCGTTTCAACAAGGCCGCCGTCATTGGCCCGCGCGTCCGAGCAGCCCTATCGCTCCCGCTTTCCTGCGGTCCTTCGCAGGCGGGCTTTGGGCGAAGCGGGCGGGACGCGGCTCCTCCCCCCTCCCCCCGCCGGCGGCCTGTCCAAAATGGCGGCGGTGCTGCAGCAGGTCTTGGAGCGGGCCGAATTAGCCAAGTTGCCCAAAGCCGTGCAGGGGAAGCTGGAGCGCTTTCTGGCCGATCAGCAGAGCGAGATTGACGGCCTTCGCACCAGGCACGAGCGCTACAAAGTGGACAGCGGTGAGTGAAGGCCAAAAGGGTGGGCGGGGAACGGGACTGACCCTGGCTAGCTGGATCCAGCGACGCAGCAATGCCCGTGCCTGTGTAGACAGTCCCGGCCGGGGCCGGTCAGGGAAGGAGGACGAGGAGGGCGCGTAAGATTTAGTCCGCCAAGAGATCCCTTCATCCAGAAAAAAAACCCTTTTTCGCTGACGAGGTGTATGGACCTTCCCTTCCAGCCGTTTGCCTAACAAAGCAAAAAAGGGGCGAAGGGGAACTTTGGGCGCCCGATTATAACACCGTGAAAAGTTTATGCCCTAGTATCTCTCGCTTTTCCAATCTGTGTTTTTTGTTTTGTTTTGTTTTGCTTGTGAGCTTGAAGTGGCGCCCCAAGATTCACCACCCAGAAGCCGAGGCAAAAGGTTGTGTAACCCTTAGAATTAAGGATGAGGGCTCCGCTCAATACATTCTCAGCCTGGAAACTATTTTCTGTACTGTAGCTGTACAGACCTCACAGAGGACCTCACGCTTTCTCATTTGATCAGGGTTATTTAAGTAGAGAAGATCGTGTTATTGCTATAATAAAGTAATTTCAAGTTTCATGATCTGCTGCCAATCACCCAGATCTGTTCCATCCTGATCTGCCTTCTGCCCACTCTTAATCAAATAGTATAGATAAGTATACACATGCATATACATATACAGACGTACATATACAGTATAGATAAGTATATGGTAGGTGACAGTACAGTCCACTAGTATATTATATGAACGATTGTGGCAGTTATGTAAGTGGAAATAGACTGATCAGTAATTCTGGGATGACAAAGCATGGCCATACACATTTTACAGCTGTAATCGTTGTTGTTTTTCCTTTGCAATGTTTATATACAGCCTAATGGTTAAGGTTGTACTTAATATTAAAATGTTAAACTATAAAAATGCTGAAATACGAACATGAATGCACAATGTTTAAAAAATAACAGAAGATACAGTAACCCCAGATTTTTAAAAGCATTGCAAGAGTTTAATTTTGAAAGTTTAATAAGTTCCTTACCAGATGTTTGTCTGGTAGACACCAGGGAACACCTCTCTGTTGGTATCCCTACTATTTAGTACCCAAGAAGAATATCATAATTGAGGTCCAGATATACAACCGTTACATTCTTTCTAAGTTAGGGTGGGTGACTAATTTTTGCCCCTCCAACGCCTGGAGCTATGGCAGTCCTGAAAATGATTTTTAAAAACTATGAAAAAATTTAAAAAAATCAATGTTTCTGGAAGTATTTTTGTTTTTGTGTGGCTGGAGAAACTATCCCATTTTTTGCAAGTCTAGCATTCCTGGATGCTTCAAGCAGCAGAAAATAACTCCTTTCAGCAGAATTTTTTTTGGAATCCAGGAACGTTACTCTGCCGTGGGGCTTTTATTGCCTCTACTTTAAGCCAGTTGTAACAAAAGTTCAATAATAATGCTTTTAGAGCTTATACAGATTGGTTATTCAGTGACTGATCAAATAGCATTTTAGCTTTTGTATGATTGTCCTATCACACTCAGTTCATAGATAGATATGCATTCTGCCCGTACACACAGTTTTCACCTTAAGGGGTTTGTGGACTGTCCTTGAAACTGACGTCTGTCTTCTCAACCCTATACTTTCCCTTGAAGTGTAGTTTTGACTTTTGTCTGGAGACTTTTTTCCCACTTCTTGTTTGCAGTCCAGGCTTCGGTGTCAGGATTGCAATGTGGAATGAGAAACTGGAGGAATTATGTAGTACGTCCCTGTGGCATCCACATATTGCCAGCAACTGCATTTTACAAAAAGCCTTCTAGAGTAGCATTTTCCTAAGAGTAATGTTTCACAGGTGGAGTGTTCAGAGAACACAGTATTTGTGCACAAGAATATTGAAGAAGAAAATCCCTGGATCAAGTGTAGTAAATAAGAAACAAGTGGATGCCTTTCCACTGTTATATAGTCAGTTGTTGTCGTATTTAGAACTTGAAATACACAAAAGTAATAAATCTATACACAGATACATTGGTAAGTAAACTTTCAGTGCTTATAGAAAGATCAGTCATGATGATTGTGTAATGTTTCCTCAATGTGTCATAGCTATAGGCAGTAAGACACCCCTATCTGCAGGATCAGTCTGCATTTTCACTTATCTGCTGCCTGAAAGTATTAAATAGGAAGCCAAGAAATAGGTATTTATTTACATTTCCAAGATATATTACCAAAACTGGCCACTAGAGGAAACCAGGGACAATGCACTCTGTGAAAGGTGAGGGGAAATGATTTTTTAAAAATATGTGCTAATTTATCACTGATGCAATGAATCACTTTGTTTAAATTTCAAAAATTCTTTTCTTTGCCTCTCTGTGTATTGCCGACTGATAAACTGCTGGTGGTCATGGTTTTAATTGGCAATACACAGCCAGGCAAATAATTATTTTAATAAATTTAAATAAAGTCATTCATTGCATAAGCAATTATCTAGCAGACGTTTCAAACAAAATCATTTCACTTTCCTTGAACCTCCACAGAAAATCAGGGAAAGGCTTCACTTTCTGATAGCATTAAGTGGCTCATAAGCCAGAATACCAGAATTTGACATGGGAAGGAGCTACAAGGCTCTAGTTTAGTCTGTTCCAAGTAACCACACTTACTGGGAGCAGACTAAACATCAGCCCTCCAACTCCCACCAAAATAGTAGAACCCCCGACAGCGGTCAAAAAAGTGCAGGTTGGGGCAAATTGGTCCACTCCTGTGACGTCCACATGTGGACACTAGAAAAAAAGATCGGACCAACCTGACCCATGAGCACATCAGACAGCAAGACAAATGTACGTAGATAGCCTCTAAGGAAATTAATAAGCCAGAGTGTATCTTAGTAAAATAAAATCAGCTGTGCCTTTTCCTTCACTGCTGTTGCAATGGTGTGCTCTTGTCCTTTCCCCCAATGGTGCATTCTCTGTTTGTTACTTCTGAGTATATGACATTCAGTATTTGTCAGTCTTTTGTCTTATTTAATGTAATTTCTTTAAGGGGAGAGGGAGAATGGGTGAGCTGCTTTTAGTTAGAGAGGGGTAAATGACGTCAAAAATAACTCCTTCTGAAACCTTTGATGAACTCTTATTATGCTTTTCCAGTATGCTCACTCTTCCCCAATTTCTGAGAAATCTTGGAAGCCTCCAGCTGTTAATTCAAGAAACAAAATAGTTGGGTTCATACTGGTGCTGTCCTTTTCAAAAGATGTACACATCCTTTGAAAGATGCTTGTGGGTGATAAGTCTGATTTGTGCAGCATGTTGAAAGAACAGATTTTGAATAGTGTTTTTTTCCCAGAGCAACAATACTTTGAAGTAGAGAAACGACTGGCTCAGAGTCAAGAGAGGCTTGTGACCGAGACACAAGAATGTCAAAATCTCCAACAGGAGCTGAACAAACTTAGTAAGTATATTATTTAAGACTGTAATCGGAGTTGCTGGATATTATTGATTGTGCACATTTTGGGATCATCGAGGCAGTCTGCTGGCAGATCTCAGTCTGAACTAGCCAAGACTGACAGGTGACCCTTGACAAATCTGCCACTGCTGCCAATGTCTATTTATATGCATTTCCAAGATATACAGTGGTGCCCCGCATGACGACGACCCCATTAAATGACTAAAACGCAGGACGATGACTTTTTGCGATTGCTATAGCGAATCGCAAAACAGGCATTTCAATGGCATTCTGCTTCACGACGATTTGGTCCATGCTTCGCGGACCGTTTATTTGCACGACAATGATCTTTATAGCTGATTGTCGGCTTTGCAAAATGGCTTCCCCCTGTTTTCCGGACCCATGCTTTGGAAGATAGCGATTAAAAACAGCTGATCGGAGCTCGCAAAATGGCTGCCCTATGGAGGATCTTTGCTGGACGACAAGGTATTTTCCCTATAGGAACACATTAACCAGTTTTCAATGCATTCCAGTGGGGAAACTGTTTTCGCATGATGACGATTTCGCTGTACAGCGATTTCAGGGGAATGAATTATCGTCGTCATGCGGGGCACCACTGTATTACCAAAACTGACCACTTTAGGAAACCAGAGACAATGCACCCTGTGAAGGGTGAGGGGAAATGATTTTTTAAAATGTCTGCTAAATTATCACTGATGCAATTAATCACTTCATTGCGACATTGGGATTTATTTAGAAAGATTGTTGCCCTGTTTAATTGTATGCTGACATTGTGGCTGAGCCAGAGAAGTTTGGCTGTGGCATTAATTGGCTTCTCCTTTGCCCTGCTCAAACTCTACCTTTTTCTTAGCTTTTTTATTGGCAGAGCAGTTCTGCTGGCAGAGTGCTCTGTGACACTATTCTGAGATCAGCTAGCAGAAGGGATTTCTGCCTGCAGAAAACACTTGAGGCAAATCCTAGTTCCCAACAGCTGGTGCATCTGGATCTCACTATTATTGTAACTGTGTTAAATTGTCATGATTTGTTTCATTGTGCCTGCTTCCAAACCTCAAAATCCAGAACTGAAAATCCAAATACAGAAAATTGAAAGTCAGCCCATGACTTGAATGTAACTCCCAGATGGTGCTAGCTAAGATTTGCACGTAAAGAAACATACAAGGGGACACAGCAGATGGAAACTTTTTGATAGTTCTACTTGTCCGTACAGTCTGCACTTGAGACTCATTTGGAGTAGGCAGGCAGCTGTTAGATCCTGGCATTATTTCTGGATTAAGCTTTTAAATCTGGATGGAGAAGGTGGATTCTTTGCTAAATTTCCTTGATACTCTTGAATTTCTTTTCATAAAAAGTTGAAAAAGGACCTTTATTTTGACCTTTCTAGATGAGCAGTTGAAGTCACTGACTGAGAGAAACAAAGAACTAGAAGCTGCTCAGGAACAGAATGCAGCCATACAGGTATAGCCACTTAATTGTATCAGGGAAGGGAGTACTTTGAAATTCAGCAACATGGAATGACAATAGTGTTTGTAGTGAAAATGAGGTGGATTTGCTTCCTTACAGTTAAATATTGAGAATATTGCTTGGGACAGACTTCTATGGCAATTAAATAGCTTTTCATTGTATATAGAATAATACAGTGTGTTTATGCTGCAAAAAGCAAAATCTTTTTTGTTGTTTTTTGTTTTTGGCTCTTGCTAGATTCCCTTGGGATGCTTGCATCCTGCTTGTTGACATTTACTGCATGCAGTTTTTGAGGTGACCTACAGGAGTAGTACCTTATTAGATAAATTCACTCTAGTCTAGGAGAAACGTATGAGCAACTTGAGCCATCTTAAGGTTGACATTTTTAGTCCATCGTGTCTGACTCTAGGGGGCAGTGCTCATCCCGTTTTCAAGCTGTAGAGCTAGCGCTTGTCCGAAGACAATCTTCCGTGGTCACATGGCCAGTGTGACTTAGACACAGAACGCTGTTACCTTCCCACCGAGGTGGTTCCTATTTATCTACTCGCATTTACATGCTTTAGAACTGCTAGGTTGGCGAGGAGCTGGGACAAAGCGATGGGAGCTCACTCTGTCACGTGGATTCGATCTTACGACTGCTCGTCTTCTGACCCTGCAGCACAAGCTTCTGCGTTTTAGCCCAGAGCGCCACCACATCCCTTTGAGCCATCTTAATATATTTTTAATACAGTGGTGCCTCGCTAATACAGCGCGCCATTTAACGACGAATCCGCATAGCGACGTCACAATTGTAATTGCAAAAGTGATCGCATTGCGATGTTTAGATAGGGAAAATCGCTTTGCGATGATCGGTAAGCGTTTCGCTTACCGATTTTCGCATAGCGATTTTTTTAAACAGCTGATTGGCGGTTCCAAAATGCCTGCCGGATGCCCAAAACGGCCACGCGCAGCGTTTTCGCGCCCTGCCCTCGCTTACCGAGGGCGCGAAAATGGCGGTGCTATGGGGAAACTTAGCACAACGGTGAGCTTAAGAGGCATAGGAACACATTAAACTAAGTTTAATGTGTTTCTATGGCGTTTTTGGTTCCGTATAGCGATGTTTCCCCATAGCGACGGTTAATCCAGAACGGATTAACCTCGCTATGCGGGGCACCACTGTACTTATTTTTAAAGAAGGGAACTAGGCATACCTCTCTGAGAGGAACATTTGGCAAGGCCAAGCTATGGCAAAGGCCCTGTTGCTTGTGCCTGCCAAGTTGATGGACCTGAGAACAGACTTTTTGAACAAGGCTTCAGCGATCAGTCCTAGGGCCTGGTCAGGGCACTTTGTACAATAAGTGCACTACATTGAATTGGCAACAGTACTTAATCAAGTATTCAAGTTGTCTGGATTTTTCTAACACTGAGCAATTGTATATCTGAAATAGAAAATAGCTCCAGATTATGAAAGCCTTGACCAAGTTTGGGTGTGTGTGTTAGTTAACTGTGCTCATAGGACTTCATTTACTGAATTTGCTTGTTCTTATTTTGTTAAAATAGTTCTGATTGATGAGTTATGGTATAACAACTGAAATCCTGATACATACCTTAGAGCTGTGAAAGACCAATGTAAACACCTGCAGGAGGGTGATGATGTCATCAGTGAGGCCAGTTTTCAATAATTTAAAACTTTCTACTTCTGCCCCATGGCTTTTCTCACTCCTGTGCAATCCATTTCATCACGTGGAAGCCATAGGAGCCTGGGGATGGAAGAAGAAAGCTCTTACCAAAAATCTGCTAGTAACATAACACAGCATGATTTGGTAATTAAAGACTACTTCATTTGTCCTGTGGCTACTATGCAATGAGTAAGAAAAGCAATGGAACAGAAATAGGAAGTTCTTAAGTACTAAAAACTGCCCACTCTTGGTGACATCATCACTCTTTTGCAGGCGTTAAAGTTGCGTAACAATTTCAGCCACTATTTTCACTGCATTATAACACATTGTATGGCATAATTTATGAGAGCTTTAGCAGTCTGGGGCATTCATTTTTGATTTTTCTTTTAAGAATCAGCTTACGAGAGCAAAAGAAGAATTGGAAGCAGAGAAGAAGGATCTCTTCCGAACAAACGAAAGAAGAGCTCAAGAGCTGGAATACTTAAATGGTAATATTATGTGAATGGAAGGGCCTTGTACATAGACTTCCTTAATACTTTAGTGGTTCTTGTTAAGAAACATGTGGTACTAGCAATGGGAACTCTTTAAGATACGCACCTTCAGGCTGAACATCTGAAAAGGAATTCAGTTTCTGTATAGGTTGACCCTTTAATGTCTTGAGAATTCTAAGTAGGGTAGTGAAAACCAGAAAGGTTGCACGCAGAACCTGAAAGATCTGATTGTGGCCAGTTTGTTTTAATGTCTGTGTAGTTGATATTAATTTCACTCATTTCACACGCTAGCAAGGTTATGATCAAAATCCTCCAAGGTAGGCTTCAGCAATATGTGGACCGAGAACTCCCAGAAACACAAGCTGGATTTTGAAGGGGCAGAGGAACTAGAGACCAAATTGCTAGCATGCTCTGGATTACGGAGAAAGCCAGAGAGTTTCAGAAAAACATCTAATTCTGCTTCATTGACTATGCAAACGCCTTTGACTGTGTGGACCACAGCAAACTATGGCAAGTCCTTAAAGAAATGGGAGTCCCTGACCACCTTATCTACGTATCTCCTGAGAAATCTATACCTGGGACAGGAAGCAACAGAACTGGATATGGAACAACTGATGGGTTCAAAATTGGGACAGGAGTACGACAAGGCTTTATATTGTCTCCCTGCTAATTTAACATATGCAGATTACATCATGCGAAGGCTGTATAGGAGGAATCCCAAGCCAGAATTAAGATTGCCGGAAGAAATAACAACAACCTCCTATATGCAGATGATACCACTCTGATGGCAGAAAGTGAGGAGGAATTAAGGAACCTCTTAATGAGGGTGAAAGAGGAGAGTGCTAAAAATGGTCTGAAGCTCAACATGAAAAAAATTAAGATCATCTTCATTAGTCCCTTTACCCCCTGGCAAATAGAAGGGGAAGATATGGAGGCAGTGACAGATTTGACTTTCTTGGGCTCCATGATCACTGCAGATGGAGACAGCAGCCCCGAAATTAAAAGATGCCTGCTTCTTGGGAGGAAAGTGATGACAAACCTAGACAGCATCTTGAAAAGCAGAGACATCACCTTGCTGACAATGGTCCGCATAGTCAAAGCTATGTTTTTTCCAGTAGCGATGTATGGAAGTGAGAGCTGGACCATAAAGAAGGCTGACCGCCGAAGAATTGATGCTTTTGAATTGTGGTGCTGGAGGAGACTCTTGAGAGTCCCCTGGACTGCAGAGAGAACAAACCTATCCATTCCAAAGGAAATCAACCCTGAGTGCTCACTGGAAGGACGGATCCTAAAAATGAGGCTGCAGTACTTTGGCCATCTCATGAGAAGAGAAGATTCCCTGGAAAAGTCCCTGAAGTTGGGAAAGTGTGAAGGCAAGAGGAGAAAGGGACAACAGAGTACGAGATGGCTGGACAGTGTCACTGAAGCTACCAACATGAATTTGACCCAACTCCGGAAGGCAGTGAAAGACAGGAGGGCCTGGTGTGCTCTGGTCCATGGGGTCACAAAGAGTCAGACACGACTTAACGACTAAACAACAACAATTTATTATTAAACATTTTACAAGTGTCTCAACTTTTTGTGTTTGTTTTGTAGAGGAAGTTAAACGTTTGAATGAGAAACTCACAGCGGCAAATACTGCAAAAGTAGAGCTACAGTTACAACTTGATGAACTTCAGACATCAGCCTTTTCTGTAAAGGTGAGTGTTAGAAAGCTTTCTAGCAACAAGAACTTAGAAAGGAGTTACGGATTACGATCATTTATGTTTCTGCCTTAATTTAATACGTTTTCAAAGGTCATTTATAGAACAGTCATATTTTTTCTCACATTGCATGGTATAATTTATGAGCATTCAAGCAGTCTAGGTTATTTCACAGCATACTGGTAATGGTTAGATGGCTAAATAATTGGTTTACCAAAATGGTGGAGAGCCATGAATGGATTTCTTTGAGGAGGTTTATTCTGCTTAAACAGCAGTCCTGTTTGTCAGAGTAAGCCTCACTCAGTTCAGTAGAATTTACTTTTGAATAAAATACATAACTTGCCATTCTGACTGAACCCCACATTGAGTCTTAGGTCTCAATCTGAAGGGGATTTGAGAGCCTGCATGGCTGGGAAAATTGCCTAAGCACTTATCTCAACAAGCGTTGCGAGTAGTAGTGTGTTGTTAGTGTGTTTCTTCCCTTCAACTCCTCTCTCTTTCTCTCTCTGTTTGTGTGTGTCTGAGTGAGTGAAATCTGAATTTACATAATGAAATCTTACTTCTAGCATCGTGAGCAAAGATGGGAACAAGAAAAGGAATTGTTACAGAACCAGAACACTTGGCTGAATGCAGAACTAAAGGCAAAAACAGATGAACTCCTGGCTGTTGCTCGAGAAAAAGGAAGTGAAATCTTAGAGCTTAAGTGTAACCTGGAGAACAAGAAAGAGGAGGTAAAACAAATCAATTTCTTATTTTAATTAAAAAAATTAGAAGGCTCCAATGAAGGTAGTAGTAGATGCCTGTACATATTATCTGTCTGATTAGGAATCTGTTCCCAAATTGAAGTGTTTTTTATAAATTCTGTTTCTGCTTTTGCCTTCTGGGTTACAAATAATTGAACAGACAGAATAAGGAGGTGAATAGTTTGACTCATTGTGTGATACTAAAGTGATAATTCTGATAGCATCCAATCCTAAAATACATTTCACCACTGAAAAATTATACACATGGTTTCTCCCTGCCTCCACCCTTCAATTTAAATTTCAACCTCTGAGTCTCTGAAGAGGCAAACAAAATAAAAAATAGTTTGGAAAAATACCAGATTTGTTTTTAAGACATTGTTATATTGCTATTACGTGGCTATGTATCTATGTCTGTCTAAATACCAGGAGGGCTTTCTGCAATTGTGGGTAGCTAGTGAGAAGGAAAAAGTGGATGGAGAGGCTGCCAAGAATAAAGGATGAGGTGCTTTTTTAGTTCAAACGGAAAAGAACAATACAGAGTGATAAAATAGAGGCTGCTAAAATTCTCTATGGCTTGTAGAGATCGACTAGAATAGGCTTTCCCCTTTTTTTTTTTAAGTGCCTGGACAGGAATGACATTGAAATTGTAGTAGCAAACCTACTGAATCAGCCCAAATGCCTGTATAGTCCAGTATTCTATTTATACATTGGCAAAACATATACCTGTGTAAATCTCATAAGCTGGACATGAAAATACTCTCCCACTCGTGTTCCTCAACTACTGGTGTACAGAGGAATACTCTTTTTAATGCTGGAGGTAATATAGAACCATCATATCTAGTACACATCAAAAGCTTTATTCCCCATGCCTTTGACTAATTTCCTTTCTTTTGGTGGCAGTTTCCATAGTTTAACTATGTGATGTGTGAAGTCCTTCCTCTTGGAAGCATTTCCTTTAACCAGAAGTAGATTTCAGAAAGGTGCTATGTAATCATTAAATCTGATATGGTAATGAACGAATAAAGATAAGAATAATAAATCTGTTAGTTTTAAAAGTTTGCATCACTATTTTTTTTCAGTGCAACAGCCTTAATGTAATGTACAGCTTTAAAAATTACAGACACAGTATTTCATTTTTTCAGAAGAGTAATCCGTACCAAGTCTTAATACTTCAAAAATTGGTGCTGTTAAGTGTGATGAAGCATGTATGTGTTGCATCATTCACATAGGTTTCCAGGCTGGAAGAGCAAGTCAGCGGACTGAAACAATCAAATGAAAATCTGCAGAAACATGTGGAAGATCTTTTAGTGAAACTGAAGGAGGTAAACATACTTTGCTTTGCTTTGCTTTTCACTTTACAGCATTGTAGCAATGCTTGATGTAGTTTGTCTTATTTGTTTCATGTATAAGGCCGTGCTTATTGCAATTTTGCAAATAGTTTCAATGTAATACTAATAAGGAATGGATTTAAATTATAATTGGGCTTCATTGTATATGGTTTTTTATTGATACTGAATTGTTAGTGCCAGTTTCTCAGTTAATGGAAGTGTAATTGTTTGTAGATTAACTGCACAAAATATATTTATTTTACCAGGCAAAAGAACAGCAAGCCAGCATGGAAGAGAGGTTCCACAATGAACTAAATGCCCACATCAAGTTATCTAATTTATACAAGGTAGAATTTGAAAAGTTATAATTAAATGTGCTACTTTGAGAACTTAAATTTAAAGGCTAATGCATTTAGCAGTGTGATCCCATACATGCTATCCAGAAGCTCTCTTGGTTTCATTTAGTCCAACTACCATATAAATTAGTTTAAGATTGCAACCAAGCCTAGAATGTTCTGTTGATTTAAATGTTGTTTACTGGCAAAAGTTGTTCCTCAACTCTTAACCATGATTTAAAAACTAGGAAACATGTAGAGGGTACGGACTGGGCCTGCCTCTTTTGGGTTTTTTTAAACCATTAAGTTATCCGTGGCTATAGTTGGCTGAATAATAGATTTGTCATGATTAGCAACATTTCCAAATATGAGACACAACTAGGCATGGCTTTTTCTCCACATCCTGAGACCTCAGAAAGCACTGAAATGTTTTTATTTCTCAGAGCTATTTTTCTTAGATATAATTATTTATTAGAGATACATAAACTATTTCAGATTTCCTATCCATTTGGGCTTCTTGTCTGTCATGTGTTCTTGCTAATCTGTTTGAATAAATAGAGCTTTAATTAAAATACATTTTACTTAGAGTGCTGCTGATGATTTGGAGGCAAAAAGCAATGAGTTGACTCAAGCTGTAGAGGAGCTCCACAAACTTCTGAAGGAAGCAGGTGAAGGTAAGGAACAGACTGTTTTACAAAATTTAAAATATTTGTTTCTGTTATTAGTAATTTGTTCACCTATCTTCTGTAACTATTGTACCGAGGGAGAAACAACAATGGCTGAGTATCTTTGAAATTTATATCCTATAGAAATATAGCTTCATAGAGTTTCAGAAATTGGTGATTCTATGCAAAATAGCAATAAAAAGTATTTTAAAAGAATACATAAGAGCAAAAAACAACAAATGATATAAAAAGATGTCTGACCCATCAACACTACTGCCCATTTCATCAATCACCTTACATTTCATACAGCACCAGTTTCAAAAAAAAAAAAAGCTTGCTATGCATGGGCAGGGGAGGAATTAACACTCTTTGGATCTAGCTGATTAGATCCAAGCATATATCTTCACATCATTCCATATATCAGTAATAACATGGTCAGAAGTGTGATAGCTACATCCACCATTTTGAAGACAAATGGCCTCATGTTAAGAAATCACCATAGACAATGGCCAAAATCTTGTTGCTTAGCTTGCTTAGCATACTAAGTTGGACTAGAGTAGGCCTACTGAATCAATGAGGATTTTGTGAATCACCTGCACAAATTCCATTGATTCAGACGGAACTGCAACTTACCAAATACCTATTGATTCAATCACTATAACAAGCAGCAGGATTTTGGCTATTATCTATTGTGTCCTGATTCACACAGCTCTGCACAACAGATCATATATACAGTAAGCTTTTAATTTGAGGCAATTAACCTCACTGTTTATGTTATGCCAGTATAAAATTCCAATAGGACTTTGGCTTTGGTTATTGTAGCGGAACCCCCACGTCATGCCTGTCCATCATTGGAAGTTCAACGGGAAGAGCCAATGAGAATACAAGAGGGGCGGAAACAAGAGGAGCGTTGAATAGACAGAGAGATAGTTGGGGATGTGGAATAGCAGTTAGGGTTTAGGAGAGAGAAGAGGGAGTGTGGCTGCTATCTCCTGGATTTAGCTGAAATAATAGCTAGGTTGTCTTGCAGTGGTGTGCAGTAGTGATAGAATGTGTTGACTGATTCTGAGCTTCCAAATTTGTCAGCAGTGTTTCTTTCCTCTCATTCTCAGCAAACAAAGCAGCACAGGAACGTTTGGCAGAGATGGAACAAACAAAGGTAGCAATTGAGAAAGAACTAAAGGAAAAGATCAGCAAGCTGGAGAAAGAGTTGGAAAATGCAAACGATTTACTTTCAGCCACCAAGCGTAAAGGTATGATAGCACCTAGGAAATAAACTTATAAAAATGTGAAGCTTTCCCATTGCAAGTGCTCCTACTACTCTGTAGTTTATACTGTTCTTACATTTGGAGAGCCTTGGATACTACTTACCTTTGTATCTTTCCGGGCATGAAACATAGAATAGGGTAATTTTTATCATCTGACCTATTTGCCACGCATGATTGTAACTTTCTTTCACAATATGCTTTTCTGCCTTGTTTGGGGTCTTTTTTGTTTGTTTGTTTGTTTGTTTTTTTGAAGGCTAAGAGCACTAATAAAGTCAGCATGAAGATTACCTGAAGTCTTAAGAAACCTTAAAAACTCTGAGAAAACTCGGAAGCAAGTGCAGAAATTGGATGTTGGATAGGATCAGTTTTCTCAGTGACTGCACTAAATTCTGATAAGTGGGGTACAAAGAAGCCTAGCTTGATTCTGGGCTTGTGTGCTTCCCACCCTGGCATGACTGGCAGCAGTAGTTCAGAAATGCTTGCATCTGCTTTTGAATTAACCATAGTTCGTAGTGTCATCTGGATTCCCAACCTTGGGTCCCCAGATGTTTTTGGACTGCAACTCCCAGAAGCCCTTGTCAGCACAGCGAGTCTGGAGACCTAAGGATGGGAACCTCTGATCAAGTCCAACCAACAGTGACTAATTTGAGACAAAAGTGGTTTCTGAAGTTGGCTTATTATGGTTAACATTAACCATAGTTCCAGGTTTGGGTAACTCATCAAGCTATGGTTCAAGCTTCTGAACCTCTCTGTGTGGTAATACGGAAGGAAGCTGAGCACATGCAGGCCTGACCTGAAGAAGCTAGTCTAGGTTAGGTTCTCTTTATAATGCAGCCTGTGTGTTAATTAAAATAAATGCATGTAGTTTGGAAATCTCAGTATTTTATTTCCTCACTGTACCAGTGATCAAGACTGATCTAAAAACATGAATTCTCGTATTTATATTTTCCAGGAGCCATCCTTTCAGAGGACGAGCTTGCAGCTATGTCTCCTACAGCTGCTGCAGTAGCAAAAGTAGTGAAGCCTGGCATGAAATTAACTGAGGTAGGAATTGATTGAATGTACTGCTTGCAGGTTCATGTTTCTCTTGGTCTTTGCTTGTAGCCACATTCACTGGGACAAGTTTTAAACATCAAGGAGCAGTCTGGAGTATTATATGATTTTAGTAAGCATGGTCCAGTTTCAGAAAGGAAGGGGAATATATTGTGGAGCATTCATATATTTGTTTTTAAGTCAATATAACATTTGTTTTATATTGTTTGCAAAGATTTAAGGCTTGTTTTATGGCCACAGTTAGGAAGATGACTTGTGAAGAAAGAAGGTTGTGTTAATTTCCCTATGTATACAATGTAGTGACTTCAGCAATTTTTTCTCATATGCATGAATTCATGTGCTGTGGAAGGAAGATGTTTAAGATTATTGGATTAACTGCCCTGTTATCACAAAAAGTATATTTTGCTTTTCTGGATAATCTGCAAGTGATCTTCCAGGTTTGAATATTTTTCTGACCTTTGCTCTGTTTCTGCTTTCTATATGTCCAAATCATTGGTTCTTATTTTTAGCTTCCCCATGCAGCTGGGAAACCATATATAAAACAGCCCATCAGAAAGAGAGACTTAAGACTTGGGACATTGAAAAATGGTTATTATTTTTTAAAAAATGCTTGTCATGATTATTGTGTGGCTTTCTTTTAAGATCCAGCAAAAAAAGAATAAAAGGGGGACAAAAAAAACTGGCTGCAAAGGTGACACTTTTAGTTGAATAGGACCAAGATACAGTCCTGAGAAGCTCCTTTTGTGGTTTTCAGTAAATTGGACAATTGGCCCTTGAATGCCAAATTTTATAATTAAAGTAGAATTAATCTAAAGGCCCATATTCAGCATATTTAATTTTCTCCATAGGCAGTACCTTAGGATGGTATCACAAACAGCTTTGAGATCAGCAAATGCAACATGTCTTTGCCCAGATAATCCCTTCAAGTATTTTTAATAAGACGTTCTAACACAAAATGATCCAATGTTGAGTCCCTTGTCCTAAATCTAATTTTTTCAGGAGCAAGTAAATTGTTTTCAGTCACCCATACCACTAACTTAAGGAGGAGGTGTCTCACATAGAGGTTTACTATGAGAGTAAGCAACCATATTGATCTATACATAAATGGCTGTTCTTCTTTCTCATAAATTAGAGCAGCAGTTGAAGAAGTCTGTTCCTGGGAAAACTTTCTAATTCAATCTGTGTGAACAAATAAAATGGCTATGGCTACAGGTGCCTGCCAGTCCCAGAAAGCTGTATCAGAGGGAATAAAATTTCCCCATGCACCTTTAGGGTTCTTGCTAATACTAACAATTTTATTTCTTTAGCAGTGACAGGAGACTGCATGGGTGCAAGGTTAGATGGTACTTCCATAGGAAGCTCATTCTTACCATCCACCAGAGTTAAGTCAGTGAAAAATCTTTAAAGATGTTTTTACTAATATCCCATGGATATACAGGAACCAACATCATAGGTCTCATTTTTGAGGCCATAAGCAGGTGCCAGAACTTCACCATATGTTTCTGAGATAGACCCAAAACAAGTTTGTGTAATGATTCCCTGATTGAGGCAAGGTTCCTCTCACTCAGGAGATGTTTGTACTTATTGTAGAGTCTGAACAAGAACTTAGGTATGCCAGCGGATTGGAACCACATAATAAAATGTCAGTCCCTTCTACAAAGTCTTATTTGCCTTTATTATCACTTTCAGAAATAACCCTGGCATCCTCATAGGAGATTTCCTCAGCCTACCTGACGAAATCTCTCTAAGGGAAGAGCAAACCAGCATCTTCCCTAGCTAAGCCCCGTCTGGCAGTTAAAACTGTCAAACGCTCAATTTTCAGTCTCTGCCTTGCACCTGATTGACTGTGGCTTCTCCCTGCTGTTAATGGCTGAGAAACTATCAGACAGATGAACAGTTTGCCTGTCTAACATAGCTAGTTATAGGGATCTTTTCCATGAGGGCGGCCTTCTAAGAATGCACTGATAAGATGGTAATGCATATACTGGGAGTAGCACGCAACATGATTCCTAGTCTGGAGAATGTGTGCTAGCAGAATTTGGTGCCTTTTTAAAAGATAATGTGTTGGATATCTTTGTTCTTTATTTGGTTTTTGTCTTTTAATATAGCTGTACAATGCATATGTAGAAGCTCAAGATCAGTTGCTGCTGGAAAAATTAGAGAATAAAAGGATTAATAAGTACTTGGATGAAATAGTGCAGGAAGTAGAAGCCAAAGCACCTATTTTGAAGCGTCAACGTGAAGAATATGAACGCTCCCAAAAAGCTGTAGCAAGTCTTTCTGCCAAACTTGAGCAAGCTATGAAGGTTAGTATAAAATGTAACTGATTCATATTGTCCTTATTCTTTATAAATATGAGATCTGTTTAGAGGAACAAAGGGTAACTCTCTATGAACACTGCTAGTTAAATAAATTTTCCAAATTATTCCATAAAAGCATTTAACCCAAGGGATAATGATATCAAAAATATATTTAGACAAAGAGTACTAGATGTTGAGAGTACTAGATGTTGGAGCTCAAACTGATCTGTTTATTAGATTCCTGAAAATGTCAAATGGTTAGCGGGTACAAAACATCTGCATCAATTTGAAAAATATCTGTCATATCCTATGAAAATGGAACTCTGGAAAGCCTTTACCAGATTACGTTTTGAAGAAATGGAATCAATTATAAAACTGGAGAGATTCCATGGTATACCAGTTCAAGACAGATAATATGTGGGGCACCAGCTGTGGAAGATCTAACTAATATTCTTGACTGTCAATTAGAGAGTGCTATCTTGATCCCTTGATAAAGAGAAGGAAGCTCTGTGATGTGAAAGATAAACTGGACTTCCTGCCTCAAGGGACAAACTAAGACACGACCCAAAACGTTGCCCTGTTCGTGATAAAGGCAGTTAGATGCAGGTACTCTGGGCTAAAACCAGTACTGCGCTCCAAAAATATAACAGCATGAACTTAATCTGATAAACTCACTAATCTTAGTGTATCTTAATAAAGTCACAGTAGAAAACCACCTGTAACTGAATGATCTATCTCATTAGTAAAGTATTGATTCAAAGGTATCTAAGGTACTGACATAAAGATACCTAACATGCACATATGTATCTCAACCTAATTTTAGCTGTTTTATTGTTATTTTATATCAGTCTGACTAACTGTTTTATATTGCCATGGTCTTTGACTGGTGCAATAAATATTTGTATTATTAATTTTGAATTGTTGCATTGTTTTTTATTCAGTTAAGTTCCTTTCATCATATTAATAATCTCATGTACTGCTTATTTCAAACCTAACTTTGGTGGACAATTTGTAGCTACATAATTCCAGCCTTCAGGTAATATTCAATTAGCCTGTTGTTTCTTTCTGATAAAACAATAGCAACCAGAATGTGTGTATTTTTGGCAGAGCTACAAAATTTGGGAGTATCATTGGGAACCTCTACTCAGTTGTTCCACTTCAGACTACAAGGGGGGATAATTATTCAAACATTTCTCATATATAAACATGATATACATAGCATGTCAGCATTCTGATGAGCTACTTTTTGTTCTCTTTTCAGACTTAAATGAAGTAGCATTGTTCCGTGAAACACTATTGAAATTGTTCTGTGAAACACTGGTGATGGATGAAAATAAATTATGATTGGTTCTAGAGGATATTGCTGAGACGGCAACATTGCCATAGCTGATTTTGATAAATTGGTTCAAAATGCCAAACTCCTTTCAGTTTTAAGAACTGTATGAATTTTGTTTTCAGGAAATTCAGCGCTTGCAAGATGATGCCGATAAAGCAAACAAGCGTGCTTCTGTGCTTGAAAGGGAGAACCAGAGGCTTGAGACCCAAGTCAAAGATCTTTCACAGCAGGTTAGTTTTTAGATGCCTGGTTCTTTTAGGCCTTTTCTTCCACCTGCAGTAATTTATCTAGGAAGATTCTCTGAAGACAAATGTCTTGAAATGGAGTGTGTGTGTAGAGTATAAGCAGCAGTAAAGAAAGGTGTTAATACAACCTTACACTCCCTGTAAAATTAGACCTGAGATCTGATTTGATGCCAGATCATTCTGATTTTCCAGGCAGTTAATTTCAAGGACAAATTCTTAAGAGTTCCAGCCTTTGTGCAACATTTATGTAGTCTTTACAGCTGTAGCCTTGTATTTTTCTTGATCCTATTTTAGAAATGTGTGATATGTAACCCCATGATTGTAGTTGTAAAGAAATTCTGTTATAAGATTAGAATAATTTAAAATATAGCCAACAGGTGTAAATGGGATTGTTTGAACTCTTTAAAACAATTGTGTAGAAGAAGAATTTGTGTATGTGGAATGGAGGGAGGGGGGTTGTACTCTTTTCCCAGATGAATACTTCCAGTGTGTACTCCTCCAGGATGAGGATAACACCTTTCTTAAGGTCTTTCCAAGCAAGAAACGTATTTGTGGTGAAGTAATGTTTAGCAGATAGTGGCCAAAATTCTGTTGCTAGAGTAGTCCCAATGAATCAGTGGGGCTTTAGTAAGTCAGCTCATCTGTAAGTTCCTTTGATTCAGTGGGCTTACTCTAATGCGCTCTACATGGGGCTACCTTTGAAGTTGATGCGGAAACTCTAAGTGGTGCAGAATGCGGCGGCCAGACTCCTTAATGGAGTGAGAAAATACCACCATATTTCTCCTATTCTGGCCGCATTGCATTGGCTGCCCATTCGGTTCCACATTGACTTCAAAGTCTTGATGCTTACATATAAAGCCCTGAACAGTTTAGGGCCTCAATACTTGGCGGAACACCTATTCCCACCAAGCTCTACCCATGTCACTCGAGCGAGTCAGGGGGTGAGGTTGAGTCTGACGCTGAGGGAGGCCTGGAAGAAAAACACAAGAAACTGGGCCTTCTCGGCAGTGGCTCCTCACCTCTGGAACAATCTGCCTCTGGAGATTCGCGCGGCCCCCTCGCTGGGTATTTTTAAAAACCAATTAAAAACATGGATGTTTAGGCAGGCCTTCCCTCCAGTTAATCTCTGATTCTTTCCCTTTCTCTTTTTCTTTTGTGGTTTATTTTTTCATATTATTATTTATTTATTGCCATCTTGAAGAATTGGCTATAGAGTGATCGCAATGACTAGATAGGCAGGATATAAATAGATGATGATGATGATGATGATGATGATGATGATGATGATGATGATGATGATGATGATGATGATGATTAATAATAATAATAA